CAATACATACATAAAAATCTGACAGACGTTTCTTCCGAAAATAGTTGTGATTAAACTCTGATTGAAGAAAGGTAAAAAATATGTTCATTATCTCCCTTGTTACCCACTTTATGTGAGCAGGTTTGTGGAAATAACATTTTTAGATAAAGAACAAGAACGAAAAAAAATCATATGAGAAAAAACGAGGCTAGAGGGACACTGTTTGAAGAACACTGATAGAAGAACGTGATATATTTTTATGCTGGACTACTCATTTAGTTGTCAAATATAAAAGTTTAAAAACAGTAGATAACTTTCTCCAATAAAATAAACGATTATTTTTTTTTAATAATGTAAATTCCAAGTTTACGGCTTTTTTGTTGTTGTCTGATTAGTAAAATTAAACATCAACATTTTCAAGAGATGATGGATAGATTGACAGAATAATATTTCGTATGAGAAAAACACGGAAAATTGTGCCAACACAGACTTGTCAAACGTTCTCTTGTTTTAGACAGATAATAATAATGATAAATAAATAAATATTAATTACTGAAGGTGCATAAAAACTGCTAACTGGATGAATCTTCATGCAGGTAATATTTTTCTTAAAAACAGTGTAGAGTTTTTCTTTCTCGATGAGATTAAACTTGTATATAAAGCAACCACATACGTATTGTTTAAGTAACTTAAAACATTTAAGCACAATAGTTTATAGACAGAGAAAAATAAAAGATAATGTTGATCCTTTTTTTTCTGAATGTGTTGCAAATGAATACATAAATTTAGAAACTACGTGTATGTGTTCTGGTTACACCTCTTTTGTTGAAACTGCAGCATGCAGCAATCACGCGCATATTAGTTTGTTGTCGAAACCCGGTTTTTAGAGGTAGAAGACCTCAGTCTTAACGCCGAGCCACTGAGGGGCCTCGCGCTCAATGAAACTCGATTAATGTTTGCATATGTATTTATATATATAGACACAAATACATAGACACACACAAATACATACACACACCCACATATATATATATATATACTGTTATATTATAACTATTATATATATAAGTGTTCTGTTAATTTTAACCCTTACAGAAAAGACGGTGTAAAAAAAACAACTCCTTTCGTTTGATGATAATTTGATAGAACTATTCAGACAACAATGTTAAAAACGAAGGATGTTGGAAATAAGAACAAACAAGCTACAAAAGAATAAGGAAATAGTAAAATGTACTTTAATAAGAAAGGTATTTGAGGAAGCATGACCCACAAAACTTTAAACATACACAGCCTAAACATTAAACTAACTAAAGAATTTATGTATGACTATCTTATAATTAGTACGATCAAATTACTAGATGTTCAAATTGGTTTATTTTAAAGTATAATCAACTGTTAGGTTTATCGTCAAAGTTTATTCACCCATACTAAAATATCTAGTGTGCACCTCGGAATACAAGCAGAGTATGCTTTTCTTTAGTAGAACCCACAAATAAGTTGTTTATATGAACTACAACTTATATATATTGTCAGGACTTATGTATGGGCCGAATTCTTTACATTAGATGTCTGTGACTTGTTGGCGATAAATTTCAACAATAAACAAACAGCACACAGTCCACTTTTTTAAAATAATATATTAAAACAAGTTAAACGTTTATACAAATGGTCGTTACACGGTTGATTATCACAGTTGTATTCTGAGCTTTAAGTAATTGTCTCCTTTTCGTCAAATTCTACAAATGCTGGTTAAGTTACTTTAGAACACAACTGACGAGACAAATTATTCTTCTCTACTCTGTTATTACAATATAATCTGTGATAATTTCACTTTACAAATAGTCACTATACGTTTTTTATTGCTAAACTTAAAATCACGCAGTCTAGATCTATCTAACTATATATATATATATCTAACTAAATTTCGATGTCTTTTTATACATCAACAGAGGTTTAGAGCGTTCCACATACGACGAAATATCATTATTATATAATACTCAATAAAAACAACGATAAAATATGACGCACTAGTATAACATTCGCCAATTCACAACAATTGAACTCCATAATGTTTGATTTATAAACAGTTACGTAAATAAACTTCTGATAAACTATCGATTCTAAAAATAACTAACTTTAACACTCATGCTATACTTAAACCATCTAAGTCATAACACTCACATTAAACTTAAACAGCCCTGTATATCTAACATATGTATCACTAAGAGGGTAATGCTTAGTATGTAGGAATGGGCAGGGAAAATTATGGCCGCCACATATTATGTATTGCTCATCATAGTCTCAACTTTCTCTATAAAAATCTACGAGACTTTTATAAAAATCTAAATTAGGTTTTCGATGTTTTCAAAAGCTATTAAGACCTTCAATTAGGCAAAAACATCGTTAAAGTAGAGGACCGACAAGTAGTGTAACAGCCAAATGTTTTGCTGATTATTGTGAGTCTAGCGTCAGAAGGGTTATTAGCTCACCGATGCTTGAAGTTGTTGCGATAACTTCAAGCTTCCAAAATGTTGTATTTAAACTTTGGGAGAGCATAAGCAGTATAGCGTTTCACTAACTTCAACACACGATGTCCATCAAGTCAACTCATCACGCCAGGCTAAAACTGCTGCCTTCAGAGCGCCTGCCATTCATTAATATCGATTGTTTAAAAAGAGGGGAAACAAATAATATAACAAATTTTAAAAAAAAGGATGATGTAGAGATGGTAATGCCAAAAAATTACAGAAACAAGTTAAGGGTGAACACACAAACACATACAAAAATCCCTACATAAGTAGCCACTGAGTCAATGTTACAAACGAATTGTAAGACTTTATAGCACTATTCAGTTTAAATGTTTTTATTCAAACCTGATTTCATGCACATAAAAGTAATTCAACATTTAGTTATAGATAAAAAGTTTCTTGGAAAGATTTGGATACTTATATAGGAATTTTTGTATGGTTCTGTGTAGTCATCCCTACCTTGTTTCTGTAGTCTTTGGCAATGCCATCCCTACATCATCCTTATTTTTTCACATTGTATTACTTGTATTCATGTATATATACTCACCAATAACATAGCACAGTAAAAGTATCCGAACAGAAATAAGCGTTTCTCAGTAATCATTCAAATTAATCAAGCTGCTCTTTGTATTTTGGTGGATATCTGAGATTAGCAGAACATTAATATAAAGTTTTGTCACGTATGTAAAGTGTGGCACGTAGTTCTCAGTTTAAGGAGAGTTTCTGAAGATTGTATGCAGTAGAATACCTTATTTTTAGACGACTTTCTGAATATATTTATGTAGTTAGTATTTATCTTGTAGTTATAGGCGATTTGCTACAAATGTTCATGTAGTTGCATCTACCTTGTCGTTTAAACTGGGACTCTATATATTTTTGTGCAGTTGAATATCTTGTTGGTTTAACCAATGTTTTAAATGTGTAACATAATTAACTTTGTAGCTTTTAGCTGATTTCGTAAATATTTTTATGCAATAGATAAAAACATCTTACTCAACAGGTTGCAGCAACTTCCTCATTTGTAGTAAAATAACGATTCACTTTGTTCTATTTATCTTTCGTCAAATGTCAAATAGAAATATTTTATACGCTTATTGCATAAATTGAATTATTAGAGAATTAATACTCTACTCTTCTATTTTCATCATCGTCTGTAACATAAGAATATTTGACTTACCTTGTTGCTGTTTCTTCTTCATCAGCTGTAAGGTAAAGATCTCCAACTCCTTTTTTAGACACTCTGAAGGAATGAGGAGATTCAGAGTCAGATACTCGACAGATAATGTGGCTGTTTAATAGTAAAGCTCCTACAGGAATAGAGTCCTGCAAAACCAGAAAGTAGGTTTGAAATTTCTATATCCATGTCGTGTATACCAAAAGCATAACATTCTTATAACTAATCACAAAATTACGTTTCTATATATATAATAAAAAAAGGGACTAACGTTTCATTTTCATTGCTAAGAATCCTTGCATAGAATATGGTTTCAGGTGACAGCAGGTACCAATAGTGCAACAGTTTAATTCTTCACTATTCTTCACTTCAAATTGGCAAATATATCACCAAAAACGTTCAAACCAACTGTTTCATTCCCATGTACTCTGTGTCATTATTTGAGAAAAGACAATGTTTTAAATTTATAACGCCCCCAGTGGTACAGCGGTATGTCTGCGGACTTACAACGCTAGAAACCGGGTTTCGATACCCGTGGTGGGCAGAGCACCGATAGCCCATTGTGAAGCATTGTGCATAACTACAAACAAACAAATTTATAACACACGAATCGTAAATAGAGGGAGACTCAGTAGAGCGCATACCTCCGCCACGTAGCGTTGAGCATATTCGGCCCTCAAAAAGTGCGAAAATGTGTCCGTATGTCCGCCGTTATCAACGGACACGGACTCTTTCTGATAGGACAATGAGGGATAATATCTTACATATTTCTACCTAGTGTCATAAAAATTAAATTTTTTAACTGAGCAAAAATAGTGTAAAAAAATCGGTCCCCATGTTAAGAGATTTTTTGTTTTTTCGTGACCTTGCTGTGACCATGACGTATGATTTTGACCCTCCAAAAACTAATTACTTCTAAGATGGGTTAAAGTCCAAATATATGCTAACGTTAGTCAAAATCCATTCAGCCGTTTTTGAGAAATCTTGCTGACAAACACACACAACGGCGAAGGTAACAATATCCTTTATTCTCTGATGAAACAAAGGCGTGTTTTTAGAATAAACCGAAAAAACAATAAACTCTTCTATCGTCTACTACATTCGATAAATTTCCACTATAACAGTGCTTCCACGTGGAGGTAATGTATAGCAATAGCCTATTATGTATGAGATTGGTTCCAGCGAAGGGAAATGGCTCAGAAGTGCTACAAGATTGTTATAGCTTATGTACACCTTTTTTATAATTAATAATCAAACTCAACGAAAAAAACAGATTTCGTTAAATTAAGTTATAATGTTATACGCAATAGAATGATTATTGAATTTCATTAATACACGTAAAAAAATCAATGATGTACATACTAGTAAAGGCAGCAGTTGAGATCATGACGATAACCGATAACTTTATAACGTTGCGTTGAGAACTGCTAGTTAATATAGAACCGTCACTTCAAAATGTGCTCAGAATGACCAACGCTGAACACATTGTTACAGCTCAGGATGATCAACCCTGAACACATTGTTACAGCTCAGGATAATCAACCCTGAACACATTGTTACAGCTCAGGATGATTAACGCTGAACACATTGTTACAGATGCCTTGCGTGAATTAGATTACTTCAGGATCCTGCTTTATTCAGGATTTCCGATGATTGTCATCATTTATAACAAGCTGGCAACTAAACTTTATAAGCATTTATACCAATCAGTATGTCTGTCTGTATTTATGCTTCCTGGCATTAAAAAAAAAGAAGAAAGAAGGTAATATCAAAAGTATACTTAGTAAATGTTTATCATAAAAACAGAAAATAAAACTGTAGAAAAGCATGAAAATTTTCTCTTGATTTCCTCAATTTTGTAGCCTCCCAGTGGCAAAGCGGTATGTCTGCGTATTTACAATGTTAGATACCGGGTTTCGATACCCGTGGTGGGCAGAGCACAGATAAGCCTTTGTGTAACTATGTGCTTAACTACACGTAAACAATAAATTTTGTATTTATAGAGCTTCACCAAGTACAGACGGTTTCAAATATCAATTACAGAAACTAAAACTTCCTTGAACATGAATTATGATTATCAATTAAAATTTAGAAAACATAAAAATATTTTTGTATCATACTCTAGTGAGAATGGAAAACAATAATTTATATTCAGAATCATAATATATTATTTTATAGATTTATAAGTATGTACAGATTTATCTGTGTTCAGTCAAAAATCTTAGTCATTGTTTAACTTTGTATTTCCGTAGTATTTCAGGTGATTGTCCTTCTCCAAAGACGTAAGATGGGTTGACTGACCTTATGTTTACATTTTCCACGAGCAATTTGCAATATGTCCAGCTAGATTTGTATTTTTTTTATTCTGTACGTTCAAGGAACATATTAAATATTATTCCTCTTTGTTTTTGAATGAAAATATTACCAGTTTCTACTGTAATAGGGCAGAATAAGCAGTGTAAACTTGGGGAATGCAGCGCTTTAAATGTCAAAATACCAACTTTTTTATATCGTTCACTACGAGTGCTAGGGTTTACATATTGCATCATATTGAATAATGTTATATAAAAACATCACCAACTGCAGTAAATAAAAACGATCAAAACAGATGATGAAATTATGCATATTCTGTGTAAGATACACATTAAACCCTACAAATGATCAATGGGGTTAAGTGCAATATTAATGGTATTTTGATTATGTTTTATTTGGTGAATCATGTGTAAATACGGATCTTGATACCAAGAAAGTCATGATGTACAACAGTTTAAAATTTGTTCTTTGTTTTAATTGGTAGACTTCATCGGTAATTCTGTGGTTAACTGTAAATGTTTCAATTGACAGGTTGATTTAAAAAATTACGGTTTCAAACAACTTTATTAATAACAGTAAATGATGAAAAGAAATTTCCTTGGTATTTGTTTTCTCTACATAAGTTGATATTAGAATAAGAATATGAGAAACATGATGTGTAAGACTGTGTAAAAAAACTCGCAAAAAACAGAAGTTTAAACTTTAAAATAAAAATCGCATTAAGCTACAATGGTTCTTTGCAAGATATTCTTACTAACAGACCTGGTGTTAAGGGTAGACTTGTTTGTTTCTGTGTTTTCTTGAATTTTGCGCAAAGCTACTCGAGGGCAAAACTAAAGAAAAGACAGCTAGTCAACATCACCCACCGCCAACTCTTGAGCTACTCTTACCAACAACAATAATGCCCACACGGCTGAGGGGGCATACCTATTCGATGACAGGATTCGAACTCGTGATCCGCAGATTGCGAGTTCAGCCCCTTCATCATCAGGACATGCCAAGTCACTAAGGCTAGGAGCCATAGACAAGCCTACTAGGGGACCAAGTTTTCGGAGATCTAGTGTGAGTAGATATTCAGCCTCAGTTTCTGCCTAGCGCGCAAGTTAAGCTATCGCTATCCGTGCTTGCTAAATATAAACCCTAAATAAAACTACCTTTCGTAGCAAGTAGTTGCAGCTTTAAGAAATCAGAACTACACTATGAACTAACCTTTTGAGTTTTATACCAATACAGACAGTTATCAGATTTCAAAACGAACCATCGTCTACACCATCGTCGGGTCTCACCCCCGCCAGTGCTCAGTCGTTGGAGATACCCCATTAAAAGCTGTTGCTGTTGGTGGTGGTGTTTGTTTGCGGACTCCACAAGGTGGCAGGTACGAGCAATTTCTAAGCAGAGCGTATCACAACCTTTAATAGAAAAAAAAATTAATGTTTTGTGTTAATTGGAAGATAACATTTTGTTTTGGCATAAGTTAAAAATGTACAGCATAGACGGCTGGTATGGGTATTAAAAACTTTAATTTAAAATAAAGTACAAGAACAACGTTTCGACCTTCTTAGGTCATCTTCAGGTTAACAAAGATAGTTTGAAACTGACCGTTACTGGGCGCATGTCTTGGGGATGAGAGTGTGAACGGGTACGAGATTGTAGGGGGCGTAGCAGTTAGATGTTAGGTGATTAATTAATATAGGTATAAAAGTGTTCCTTTATGTTGGTTCAGTTTTGGTTTGAGTTCTTGTATAGGTAGGGCTTCTCTGATTTTGCGTTTGTTTGTCTTTGTTTCTATACTTCTCTACTCTAAGAGTAAAATAAATTTACGGAAAACAAGAATTATATGTCGTATAACGATTCACTAGCAAGTGCATCCGTTAATGCTGAGTTTAATGCTATAAATAAGGTAGCGAGCCGCCCCTTTCCACCATTTTGAGCCTTAAAATAAAAACCGTTCGTCCGATGCAAATATACCAGTTTTGTTTGTGTGTGTGTGTGTCATTAAACGTCACTTTTGTTTGGTGTCAACTTCTCGTATTTTGCTACCGACTTCCTCGTTCACTTTCACTCTTCTTCATGTCTTTGAAGGAGGTCAAATTAAAAGGGCTGCCAAATTTTGTCCACTGCTAATCCATTTCAACTTAATCTTCTGGAGTACCTCTAATAAATTTCAACGTAGTTGGTTCCTCACAAGAACTTTTGACAACAGACGAACGGACAGCTCTGTTATACAGATACACTTTGGATAGAATGATGATCTTCATATATTTGGCAAAGTGATAGTCTTATGATAGTTCTAACTGATAAATATATATTGTGAAAATTGTATTTTCATAATATTCAAAATTAAAGTATATATCGAGACTTTAGCTTAAAACAGATCATTCTTGGAATTTTGATCTATTACCTTAAACCTGCGGCATCCCTCTGGTGACAGTCAATTTTAGACTATCTTCGTGTCCTTATGACTTGCTTGACTACAGCTGTTTGTCAGCCGAACTTCCTAAGCTATTCGACAATCTTCCTTTTGGTTGTGGTTATATGATTACTTTCTGTGCGATTGGTAAAAATGGAATTTTCATTTCTCTGTCATAACTTGACCTGTGTATCTTTGAGTTAGTGAGCAGTTACATGCTAATCGTTATGCAGTACAATTTAATCAAACCCTATTTTATTTTCTAAACCATAAAGTGTCGTCTGTATTTGTATTTATGGCAAAGTTACATGGACTATCTGCCGCCTTTTTTATTTTGAAGTACTGACCAGAGGAAAAGCACCCAGTCAGCAACACCCTACCATCCATACTATGGGATTTATTGTCATTGTCATTCTTATGACGCACTCAGGACTTTAGTGCGGGGAGTACTTTGTGATATCACAAATTCAAACCAGGCTTGCCAGCTACAAAATACAGAGTTCTAGCACAAGACCAGCACGTGCCCTGAAAGTATCGTCCTGACCTAAGTTGTGCATAGTTCTTTATTATATAAATAATACTAGCGAGGTATATGTAAAAATATAATGCGAAAAAATTCCCAACAAAGAAAGAGTATTCAATAAATAATACGTTGCTGAGTGAATTTCCTTTTGTTGTTTAGACTTTCACACCTTAAAAATCATCACTGTGATTATACGATACCTGTTGGGAATTACTACAATAATACCACAGTTCGAAGACAACGTTTGGAATAACTTGTTTGCACAGGTTCGTCTCAAAGTAACTACAGGAACCTGAAACCCATTACTCTATCTTTAATGGCCCCCCAGTGGTACAGCGGTATGTCTGCGGATTTACAACGCTAGAAACCGGGTTTCGATACCCGTTGTGAGTAGAGCACAGATAGTCTATCTCTAATGAAACTGAAAGAACATTTCTACTGATATGTAATAAAAAACAGAATTATAAAAGAATTTGAATATATTTTAGTCTATTTTTTATTTTACTGTAACTTCAGTTCAATTTGAGCCCTAATTCACAATAATTTGTCAATGTTTAAAAGTACCCAATAAAACATTTTTCAGGGTATTTCCATGTTAGCTCACGATTCATTTTTTCATATATGTATGTTATTCTTAGTCAAAGTAAAATATATGTGGCAATCGATTGATCGAATACTTGCAACATGGGTCATTCATAAAATACAGGGTGACAGCTGTTTCATTTAAATTATCGTTTAGTTTCTAATGTCTTATTATGAAATAAACAATAATTAAATTGGTTTCAGTTGTTTTCGTAAAAATGTATTCTGTACCAACCATATAATAACTTTTGCCATATCCTGTATATAAAAAAATAAGTATTTATTCCAGTAATATTATTTAACATTATTACTCCTTAAGTTAGCAAATACTTCTGGTAAGAACAACAACTAATCAGTGACCATACCCGTGCTCCCCTCTAGTAGCTCAGCGGCAAGTCTGCAGACGTATGACGTTAAAATCGAGTTTCGATACCCGTGGTGGGCAGAGCACAGATAGCTCATTGTGCAGGTTTGTGCTTAACAACAACCAAATCAAACCTTACCTGTATGTGCTGTCTTCACAACTTCGGAATGTGAGGCGTCTAAGACTTTAACTCCATTAATACTAATAATGATATCACCAACTTCCAGACCACAATTCTCTGCTGGTGTCCCTGTTTAGGAAAGGCCAAAGAAACGATTGTATGATCCATAAAAAAATGTGAATTATTAAAAAACAGTTATCATAATGAAAGCTCTTAAAGTTCTACATAACATGCTAATAGTAAATCAACACATGACTCTTTTCATACAGTAGCAAAGTTAAACTATCAATGAGAGTATGGCGTTTTTTTTTGACGTTCCTGTACAAAGCTACCAGTAACCAACTTGGTAAAAACCTTTTTGTTTTTGTGAACTAGTAATCTGCTAATAGGTAAATTAATATATATATTAATATATATTAAAATATATTATGCAGTCAAAAGCTAAGTGAATGCAAGATAATATTTTTAAAATATGTGTATAACAAGTATTCTAGGTTCCAAACTATTTTTGTACTAATTTTTCACTAAGTCGAGAAAAGCTTGGTTTACCGCGTAGTTTAAAATTCATATCTTTTGAATTGAATAAGTAAATTTCCTATTTTTTTATGAAAGGTTCATATCAAACACAGCTAGGCTAGCTGTATCGTTAGTTGTTTATTTAATTAGGTGAAACTAGGATAAGTTATATTATATTTCTCTAAGCTTTACTGCCATGGAGGTGACAATCAGCTTTATTCTGAATTTTATTTTTCAGTTTTCAATAATAAATGTCCAGCCGATTAGTTTACACCAAATTATTTGTTATATATATATATACCAAAGATATAATCGAAAAGATAATATGTGAAGCTTAAAAAAAATTCAATTCTTTTGTTGTCGTTTTCGTTATTACGATATTCGTTGACTAGTTTTAAATTAAGTTCAGGATTCAAAGGACAAACAAGTGTAGTTTCCTTTACTCTTCACTCCCTGCTATTCGATGTAACAAGGAGAATGTTAACGTCTTTACTGCTTGATTTTCCATCACATACAGAATGAATGTAAATTTCTGTATACTTCAACTTAAGATATTCTTTTACACGTGTGGAATAGTAGGGACTGCTAATTCACCTCTTCCTCTGTGAGTTCACATAAAAGTATATGGATTACACATAAACGCTGAAGTGTAGGAATTCTCTCTTTAAATCGAAAATAGCCACATTATTTACACAACTAATATAAGCTGACAGAAATGTTTGTTCAATAAACAAAAAATTACCCTTTTCAATGGCTGATACCACCACAGGCCGACTTCCGTGGATTCGAAATCCGAACTCATCATTGCTCCGTTGCACCGTGACCGTCTTATCAACCTCTAAAAAAATAGAAGATAATCCATTATTTGCTAGCAGGTTGGCACAGATATTGTTACAGTTCTTCTATAGAAACTCGAACAATGATTCTTTAAAGGTAACATATTTCATTCTATTAGCTTGGGAAATGACCCTTTATGTGACATATGACTTTTTATCAGTTCTATAGACACCAAAAGATGACACGTTAAAGGATGTAGGGAGCATTTTATTAGTTTATACATACTCGAAAGACAAATTGCTGAAGATGACAGATAATATTCCATTGATTCTGTATCTTTTGGAAGATTATCTTGCAATGAAGATAGGAATTATTCGATAGGCTAATCATCGGGATTGAAGGTAGTAACATGTTAATCGAATGTATGCTTGGAAGACAATATGTTAAAGGAAAACATAATTCATTACCCATTACTTCTATACATGACCAGCTAGTTTCATACTTTGAAAACGATATAGTTTCAATTCTTTCTCCCTTTCTATATATACATATATATAACAAACATTACAAAATAACTAAAATTAAACAATTATTTTCTATTCTCAGTCCCAGTTGTCAACATTAAGTCATAACAAATAATGTCTGTGGTCATAGCACCCAAACGTGTTGGGAATATTCTATCTATCAGAAAAAATCCAGACGCTGATGTTAAACTAACTAGCAATTATTAAAATTTAGTTAAGGGTTAGAAGTTGAGTGCTTACACCCACAACGTCTCAACTCATACTGCCTTTCGCTGTCTTTAGCCAGTTGTGGGGAGGCAGTTACCCTTAACACTCAGATACGATCTTAAAGCAATTATAAAAACTCCCAACCTCCACCCTTTTATTTACAAATGATGTTAAGCAGAACTAATTACCTTTCCTTAATGGTTTTTAAACTCCCAATTCCCCCCCCCCTTTCTCTTGAAGATTTGTTCAAGTATAGCCCGAGCGAGCTGAGACAAGCACAGTCACCTGAGGTTAATCTTTCCATCCCGGTATACTGAACAAAAATCTAAAAAACAAGTTTAAAGTTAGTTACTCACGTTCTCCACAAGGTAGTTTCTATAATCGAGGATTTACAGTTTAAAATAATTTCATATTTATTATAAAAAAGTATATATTTTTTATATGCCAGTCATTGTAACCATTAACTTTCAATTTACTTATGAATAATTGAACATTGTTGCAAATTGTTAAAAAATATTTTTAATTGTGATACAATAATTCCTCTTAGCAGTATAAAGAGATCAACACTATTAGGAGTGGGTAGATCAAAGGTGGGATAATCAAATTCCATTATTTTACCAACAATAGCCAACTGTACTCTGCCTTCTACAAAATTAATGTCTAAGTAATGTGCACGAATATCATTACTATTGTTTCTTTCTATTACAAGTTCTTTTGGATAAATTAGGTTTGGAATAAAATTCAAGTTATTGATCGATATTAGATCATCTATGTAACGGAAAATACATATGTGTAAATTAGGTTTTTAATAAACGTTTCAAAGATAAGTTTTCATAGAAAACTTATACAAATTGGTCATGTTTGAATAGAAATTATTATCCATCGGAATACCCACTGTTTGCTTATATACTTGTTTACTGAAAGTAATATAACTGTTATAGATACAAAAATTAAGTACATTTTTATATTCATGCTTAGTAAATTTAAATTTTGGAATTATTACTTCTGTATCTACAAAATTATCAAATAGATCATTAAATATCATGACTAAATCTTTCAAATATATTTTACTATATAATGTGGTAAAATCATAACTAGTAACAAAGTTGGCTGTTTTTAATGAATTCCAAAACTGCGGTGTTATTTTTAATGATCCAAAGTAATGGTCCAAATCATTTGATAACAGTAACTTTATTTTTTTCGAATAAAACATCTAGAATGTTTTCAGTACAAGAGAAACAGATTTTACAGCTGTATTTCAAGAGTTTGTAATAAACCTGAATTTAAGATGAGCTTTATGCAATTTCGGAATTGCATATTAAAATGACAAGCTAGAACAAGAATAATCTATACGTATATTACATTTTTAATGGCTTTCTTTAAGTTAGTAATAAATATATTTTTACTTAAAGTACTTTTTGTAAATGTGTGAGTGTGGTATTAATTTCATTGATTATAGTTTGTGAATATAACTTTTTACACACAAAAATAAAATTACAACTAGCTTTATCAGTTGGAGTAATAATAAATTGTTCTCGAACTTCCTTTATTTTTTAGAGATATTGATAGAAATATCTATCTTATATATAGATATGTTTAAAGCTTTTAATCGTTTTTTATGAAATTCATAAAATGTAATTTCCCTTCAAAAAAAGAAACGTGGAGGGTATTTGAACAATCCTCAAGAGACAGGGAGGAGGTTGGGAGTTATTAAGGTAGGGTTTTTAGTTCTGTTTAATATTATTTTGTAAAAAAATGGGCGAAGTTTTACATTGTAGAATATTTAGGGTGGTTTTATTTCTACCTTAAGATTGTATCTTAGTATTAAGGTTAACTGGCTACATATAGCGAAAGGCAGTAGGAATTGAGATGCTGTGGCTGTAAGCACTCAACTCCTATCTCTTAACTGATTTTTCGTAACTGCTGGCTGATTTGACATCAGCTTTTAAATTTTGTCTGATAGATAGAATATCCCCAACGCATTTAGGGGCTATGACCACAGACATTATTTGTTATGACTTCATGTTGACAACTGGGACTGAGAATGGAAAATAATTGTTTAATTTTAGTTCAGATGTAATATTTGTTTTATATTAAGTTCATTATTGTTTTATAGTGCTGATTTAATCGCCTATTGACAATTAATGTAACTGATAGTATCAGAGCAATATATACATACATAAAAAATGATTGAAATCTTTTAACTCTTCTGTTTTTCTCTTATCTATTACTTTATTACTGGTTTCGTAACTTCAAAAGTCTCTCTTCAGCATGTGTTTTTACAGATAATCTATAATAAACACGTTCAAATACGACTTTTCAACTAAACCTAAATAACCTGAAGTAAATACATATTTTTCAAAATGTAAAAACATAAAATATAATCCTTACATAGATTACCTACAAGAAAATATACTCAAAAATAAATCAATTTAAGTCCATCAAATGTAATTCCCTCCTTTTCTTTTCCTTTGTAATTTTTCTTTTCATTGAAATTATTTTAATTATAATTTTTCCTGTTATTATAAAAAATCAGTTTATTTAACAATTTATTAATACAAAATATACCACTTACTTACTTTAACGTCATTTCTGTGATTCCTAGTAATAATGTGTACCGTTGCACAATTCCAACTAATTTTACTCAACTGCTGTTACTTCTGCTCTCCTACCTCTATCCATTTAAAATGGCGTCAAAAATTTATGAAATAATTTTTCGAAACGTGACCTTTTAGGCTTTATACTACATTCTCTAAAAGGGAATACTTGAAAATATGGTTCTTTTAGAATTTTACATTTGTTCAATGTCTGCTGGCGTATACTGAGCTTCTTTCTGAAAATGTAACATAGAATGTATGTAAATTCATCCTTATTCTTATGTTTCACCAACATGGAATTCACCATAATTTACCCATTTGTAAAGACATATCACATTTCGGGAATTGTAATTAAATAAATTTTTAATGAAAACAAGATATCTTTATTATTTTTCTTTATCCCTTTTTGCATTTTAATATAACCTAAAGTACATAAACCACAATTCATTTTTTAACAACTCAAAATATCTTCCTTAGAAAATCTTTTTTTAAGGCTTATACAACAATCTATCTAAATTATTAGGTTGTCTTCTTGATAAAATATGTTTATTATCTTTGAAAACATCTTTCAGTTTTCATTTGCTGTTTGTTTTCATCGTGTATTAACAAATGAAATATCAATACGTATATTTGAACAATGGGTTTATACAAAAGCTATAATCTTCTCTTTAGGCTTACTAATCTCTCTATTGAAATGTTTTTATTTAAAAAAAAGGTACTCTAAACAATTTTCAAACTTCATAATACAATCTCTCCAGTGGCACAGCGGTATGTCTGCAGAGTTGCAACGCTAGAAGCTGGGTTTCGATACCCGTGGCGGACAGAATACAGATAACACATTGCGTAGTTTTGTGCTTAATTACAAATAAACAAACGCATCGTCATATAACATTTTCCGGGTAGTAACACTGAACTAAAAACTATTTTAGTTCTAGTAATCTATTATGCATGAAATATTCTCGGAATTTGACGAGGTAACGGTGGAAGGTATTATCCAATTCGTTATATTCATTCACTCTTCTTTTCAATTAACTTTCATCTTATAATGTTTATCTTTTCAAGGCTACATTCATTTTCATGCCATATTATATCACGTGACTGTTGTTTATTTATAAATATATGTCTACACATATGTGTTTGTTTTTAATCTTTATTCTATTAAATTTATATAATGAAGTGCCTCTTATATAAGTTATTAAATAAATATAAGTTTTTGTTATTCATCGCTTTTTTAATCTTCCAAGGAGAAATGGAAAAATGTGTGGTGTGGAAATTGATACTATTTACTAAACATGTTCAACTGATATTTTAACTATATGAAGATAATAAAATCTAACCTTATGCCTCCGTTATTTTACTGTAGAATACAGATGCACTCCTGGGTCCCGAATTAAATAAATAGATATTAGTCCTAATTGGGATTAGTATATAAATATATATGTTTATTATAGCGTAGCAAAGGAACGACTAGATCGTACTTTTGAAACTTGAGAGTCGTTGATCAGTAAAAATCATTTAATAGAAACACATAAGGATTTTTCATAGCTTAAGTTTATTTATGAAATCAAGCAAAATTCCGTCAATACACCAGAATCTGGTGGCTAGGGCGCTCGATTCGCACCCGACAGGTCGCCTGTCGACAGTCTAAGAGTTGGCGTTGGGTGGTGTTGATTAGCTGCCTTTCCTCTAGTCTATCACTTTAAAATTAGGGGCGACTAGCGCAAGATTGCCCTCGAGTAGCTCTGCACGAAAATTCAACAAAACAAACTAGATCGGACGTTCTACTTATCCATGTCCTAAACAAGAGATTCCGTCTCTTGCTGAAGTAAAACCAGGTATAAATTTGAATTTGAAAATGTATCGGGAATAAAAATTCTGTAATATTATTCGATAAGCCTGAGACATTAGTAAATTGTATATGTATTCTTGTCAAAAAACGAGCATTCAATTAATATTAGGGAACAATTGTATTTATTTTATCCAAGGGCACACAATGGACTATATGTACTGTCTTACCCGCGGGGATCGAATCCAGAATGTAAGCGTTATAAAACGTGAAGCTCACTGCTGAGCCATCGTGGGACGTAAATGCTACTCTAAATACGATGGATACTGGAGATATAATAAAATGAGTTATTATACTTTAGTGGCCAAAGAGAAAAGGTTATATACTCAATACAACACGAATACTGTTGTAAAAATAGCTGTTTTTTGGGGGATAAACCTATATTACAAAACTTGACACTTTGATGGCCAGCCGGAAATAATAGATGACACATTAATATTCAATAAGTATTGTCAGTGCTTGTATCACAACAACATGTTTCACCCTGAGAAAGAATTAGTCACTTTGATGCCGAGGAATAAATAAATTATAATAAACGATGACGTATAGGAGTCCATATTGGCACTCGTTTCATAATTACAGACACGATTTGTTCAAAATGTTAGCCCTCCAGTAGCAAAGCAGTATGTTTGCGGACTTATACCGCTAGACACTGGGATTCGATATTCGTGGTAGGCAGAGCACAGATAGCCCATGGTATAGCTTTTTGCATAATTAAAAACATCAAAGTGTTAAAAAGAGATTGGTCAAGCTAGAAGCCATGAAGAAAAATCATGTATTTTGTGTCGAAAAGACCACGTGGGCGATCTTCTGATGATGATTTAGTCTTAATGATAAAATTACTTTTAACTTGATTAGATTGGGGGTTTTTATGATGGAGCTCGTCTTTCAAATTTACCTTTAATATACGATGGCTAATGTTGGAGCTCATCTATCAATAAAATATTATTCTTGCTGGAAATGTATTACTAGATTGGTCCCTATGCTGTTAAGTCACAAACAACACGCACCTAAGATCTGGTAAACAACGTAGATCCTGGACGAAAGATGGCAGATATTTTGTTTTGTGGGAGGTGTATAACGATATTTTTAGTTTTAGTAACCGGAAGGAAATATGCTATCCACATTAAATTCTACAAAAACTATTTAAAATACATGCACGAAATGTAATATAAAGTTAAATGTATTTATACGGTGTATTACTACTGTGTTATTTATTCTAAAGCTTCAGTCATTATTTTAGACTTAATTAGAAATTGAACTGACTTGTCAAGGATTTTGCCTTCATGTGAAAGCTTCGAATTTTTAGAAGATTAGTCCCCCCCTCCCGACACAAACATGAATGTAACAGCACAATGTGGAAAAAAAGAAAGTAAAAACAAAATGAAATACTGAAGCAACACGTTAAAAAATGCAACCTATTCTATCAAAGTCAACAAAAATACTATACTTATTTTACTTTATTTACATGACGTAAGTCCATATGGTTACTTTTGTAAAACATATATTTCTAGAGAATGTACTGAGAAGTGTAAATCTTAACCATACATGATTGTACACTGAGAAGCATTCTGGATATTTACTCTTATTGCATATTTTTTTTACAAAATTACTGTACGAAGTTAGTGTTGAAATATGACAAGGTAGGGTATTCACACACACATATATAGTGATATAATTCGTTTAATTATGTTCTATGTTTAAAGACCAAAATATATTACCAAGCGTGTGCGTGGACAGACGTTTATATAATTCCATGCTAGATTTCCGATGTATGAGTCTATGAGTTACTGATTGGTACTGGTTTCGAAATTCACGCTCTGATGACGTAGAATCACTCGATTCTGATCTATGTAATGTTGGTCTAGTAACCAAAGCAACAGCCTCAGAATCCAATGGAGCTTCCTCTGATTGAAGATAAAAAGAATAAAAGAATTTCTTAGTTAAGAAAATTAGATTTCACCAGAAATATAATGCATGCAATAATATCATGCATCTTTGCATAATTGTTAACGAGAAACTCATTAGCGTTTGTACAACCTCAAGTAATTAGAAGTGACAGTCACTGAGACTATTCTGGAAAACACACACATACAAAGAACAGTGTGAGAGAGAGAAAAAACAAACACTAAAATAAAATTTGTCAACCTTATTTATGTACTTCAGTTTTTCAGAGGCATTAAGCTTAAGTATTTTACCAAATGAAAAACGTGTTTAAGAATCTCGTATCATAGTAAAAATATTCTTAGATATCATGAAGACTATCTTTAAACACAAAAGTAAACATAAGTTGGAAGTGAGTATTTACCTTTCTTTGAGCTAAGCCTGGCTGGAAACAGCAAATAATAATATTTTTTTTTTTACAATTCTTACAACATAAACTTATTGCTTATATCATGTATGCCACAATTAACACGTCTGGTACTTAAATTTTCAAACTTTCTGGTGTATGTACCTTTAAAAGTATGATATTTTGATGAAACTTACTACACTTTTTTTCCACAACAAAACCATGAAATAAAGTGGTATTGCCTCTGAATCCTCTATAACCATATTTTAGACCTTATTTTTGTAAATTTTATTCTAGCCTGGATTGTTGTAACATTACAATATACATATATATATGCTAAATATAACGCTCAAAACAATTAAGGAGTAATGGGAGTTTTTGTATACTTTAACCATGACAAGACAATAACGTCAATAACACCTCTGGTTTACTTCTTATCCGAAACCATGCACATTTTAGTTTGGTATAATAGTGAAGGAAACACGTGTGTTCTTAGTTAGCAGTTTGAACAGTAGAAGGAATTAAGAAGAACTGGAAGGCTGATAGTGGAACACACTAGAACCATAACAAAGGCATTTGGACATTTTCACGACATGGAAAGCTAGATGTTGGCTAAAAGCTGATAAAACATAGCATGTCATTGCAAAGTGGCTAAAGTCCAAGAAAGCGTTGTTAGCATGACTTTGGCTAAAATCCAACAAAGTGTAGTTAATATAATGTGAATTTGCTTTCAAACCAACAATACAGTTAGAGTATAACCTGGTCAGAGTATAGCATTTTAAAATACTTGTACATAAGACTCATTTGGGCTTTACACAAGCAACAGCTTCAATTCCCCAACTGAACCAACAATTCATTTCAGATCAGAAACTGGATAATTACTCAGCAACCAAGTGGTTATAAACAGGCTTCATTCGTAAGACTAACTTTTAGGCCATGTGACCGATAAATGTTTCTTTATAACCTATCAACCACAAAGCAGCTCGTCTTCGATGATGCTAAGAACGTTTGGATTGGTAAAATGACATGTTTTTACAAATATATCATGCTTTACACTGTTGCTAGATACCAGATGTGTACTCATCTGAAGAGTGCAAGGGATCAGATTCAACCATAATATCAATACACGTATATAGTGATGACATACTTGTCTGGGAACACTGCTGTGTGTTATAATATGGCACAATAATAGCATACGATATAGAAATGTTTTGTACAACTGTTACTTTGTCATATGCAGGTTCAGCTGATCAAAACCTTTTTTAATGGGTCAAAACTCTAGCCCCTACCACGCATAATGACTAACAACTTCCTGAAAGAAAATAGTACCGACCGAGTGTACTCGCGTTATATAAATATGATTCAACATGTATAAGCCAATCAGGGAAGAATATGGAAGCACGTGATTCATTCTAGGCAGTACTGATGAACAAAAAGTAGAGATCTCATAGAGGAGTTGGTCATATTACCCTCATTTCCCTCATTTCATGCTTGCTCCATCGGTGTACGACTTGCATTAGCATCTGTGGTGATCATACGACTAACAATTAAACATCTTCTCATAATTGGTTGAGCTGCAATGTCTGTAGTGCCAAATGAGGGCTTTTAGACATCACAAGTCATTTGACATTTATTATGCATGAAAATTAATTCAAGGATACCATTAACATGATTTATTAACGATAGTTATGCTTTATCGTAGCTAGAGTAAAGCAAGTCAAGATTATTCCTTAGTTGAATTTAGTAGTGTATCTGAAATATTTATATAACACGTATGCTCAGTAAGTTTTATATTGATTTATTTCAAAATAATATTTAAGCGATAAAAGTAAAGTTGTCAATATTAGAACTTACGAGTGAGTGCAGTTTCTACAAATGTCTGTTTATTAGATTCTTTGTTAATCAACACTTACATAATAGGTATGGTATTTATTTCCATCATTAAAATTCTATATACAGTAATGAGGTGAATAACATTTTAGTGGTAGTGTAGAACTGTTTACTGTTTTTGTTAAAGGTAGACCAAAATGCTAACTTTTGGATTAATGTCGCTCTAGTCCTTAATCAGTTTAAAAACTATAGTTACGTAAATGGGCATACTTATCACTGCTTAACTTTTAGTTTTTATGTATGTTTGCTACATTATAGTTTTATTTCTGAAACAATATTTCTTCTAGCCTTTTAAAAATTGTAATTTATTTAAGCAAGGAAATAAAATTCAAGTAAAGGAATAAATTAAGATATAGAACGTGTACATCAGGTGTAATCAGGAATTTAAATAACATTGTTTTAAATATATGTTTAATTGCTCTGGACAAATGTCATCTAGAACAATGGTTCTCAAACTGTGGGACGAACCCCTCTGGAGACATGACCGTATTTCAGGGGAGGTGAGAAGTGTCAGAGAAACAGGCATGACAGTATTTCAGGGAAGGTGAGAAGTGTCAGGGAAACGTTTCATTTTTTGTTTAATTTAAAGCTAAGTTTATCACTCATCATTGGCTATATATACATATACATATCACGGTTTAAATGGGTTGAAAGTTTTTGGGGGGGTTCAAAGTTTATTGCAGAGAAGAAAACTGAAAATCATATTCTATTTACGTCAGTTTATTCTAGTTGTTAAAAACATTCACATACATAAAAAGTTGCACATTAAAACAAATTAAGAATTATAAAATTAGAGTTTCAAAAATCTAATAGTAAATGTTTTTCCTGTGGCAATCTCTGGTCTAAAGCTAGAACTCTGCACAAATAGATTTAGTATAATATTTAGCGCATTTAACGTTTCTAGCATAAGACAAATTTATTTAAGACAATTTATTTTTTAGTTAACTGTTTTGTTTCAAATAAAAAGTAACAGATTTGAACTTAATTAGATGATGCACCCATACAGTAATGTTTCTTAATATAATCACACAACTTTCTGGCACTTAACTTTACTTGTGATAGGTTCTGAAAGTTAGCATTTAATTAAAACGTTGGTATCAAAGTTGTTTATTGATTGTATAAATTTGAATATGCGACGAGAACTTTCTTGCCAGTAAAAATTTTTTTTTTTAATATTTCATGTAAACAAGAGTTAGAAGTAAATGATCTTATTTAAAAGAGTGTTTTTAATGTGAGATAACTTAGTGTTGCAAAAAACTCTGTAATTCAAATAAAGTTTATTTTACACTACTACAGACTATCGATTGTTTAGAGGGATATTTTAATCAGTGCCATTAGTCAGCTAAAAGCCGCATTATGTATTTTGAATTTTATATAGTTGATTTTTTTTGGCTGATCCCTTTTAAACTTTGAAGACAACAATGTTTTAGAAATTGACTTCGGGCATTTATCTCTTGCCCCCCCCCCCCAGTGGCACAGCG